GTACAGCAGAGTCACTCCCAGGAGGAACCGGCAGACCCGGGCGGGGACGGTCAAGCGCGGCTCCTCGCTGGACGTCCTGCTCTCCATGGGGTTCCCCAAAGCCAGAGCGTGAGTTCGGCCAGAAAGGCGAGGGGGGGCGCTGGGGGGCTTCGGATCTCCTGCTTCGTGCGCCGAGGGACCCCGGCCGGGCTGGGCACGGCTGAGCCACCCCTTTCCTTCCGAGATGACGGAAAGTGCCGCGCGCATTTCGGCTCCGCGTTTTCATCCGGATGGAGCCCGGTGGCGGGAGGCGGCCGCGCCTCCGCGGGGCGGGTTCGCGAGCCCCGCCGGGTCCGCGCGGGCCCGCGGCGGGGCGGAGGGCGAGGTTGCCATGGCGGGAGCGCGCGGCAGTTGCGGCGAGGGGCGCCGCCGCTTGCGCCCCGGCCACGGTGGCCGCGTCTGCCTCGCGCGCTCCATGCCCTGCCCGGGCTGCCCCCCGGGGGCCGCCGCGATCACCCGCTGCTTCCTGCCCCCGCTCCCTCCCTCCGCCGTTTGCGTCGGCCTCGCCATCCGGGGCTGCGACGCGGGAGGCGAAGGCCAGCCGTCCCCCTGCGGCTTGTGCGCCCGGAGCGCGGGCATCGCGTCTCTTCCAGCGGGGCGACGCGGGCAGGAGCTGGGCTGGCGTTGCTGGAGCAGTGCAAGGGGGGGGGGGGGGGTAAACGGAGTGGCTCCCCCCGCGTGAAGGGGGACTGGAAACGCGCAGTCCGGCGCCGCTGTCCTCGCCTTCCCTGCCGGCATCTCACGCTGGGATGTCCAACGAAAGGAGCGCTGCTGGGCGCAGGCAAGGGCATCGCCTGGCCCGGGAGGTTCGGCCGGGCCACGGTGCTGGGGTCGTGGAGGAGGGCTCGGTCGGGGGTCTTGGGTCGTGCCCTGCGCCTGGTAGCTTCGGAGCAGGGGATGTTTCCCAGACCTCGGAGCAAGGACCTGCGGTGCGACTGAGTTCAGGCTCCTGCGACTCTGGCCCTCGGCCCTGCAGCGAGGGCAGCGTTTTCTGAGTCATGTGGATTCCGAGGAGGCGCAGGCTTGCCACACTTGGCCGTAGGGGGATGCGTGCCATTTCGTAGGTGCGCCTTGTTGCACGCATGTGAATCGGGAAAGCGTTCTGGTGAAAAAAGTGGATCCCATCAGTGAATAGGCAGCATCTTCCCGGTTAGGAAGAGCCACGCTTCGTGGCTGCGGGCGGAATTCCTTTCTCATCTCACCTTGAATTGCTGGGTTGCAAGCAGGCCTTCTGCTCCTCAGTCGCTCAGCTGCATCGCTTCTCCTAGTCTCCCCTTCCATCCCCCGGGCAAGGAGATGGTATTCCTCCGCTGCCATTTTACCAGCATTCTACCCTACAGAAAACAAGTATCCATGTCTCATATCTCTGTATCCAGAAAAGTGTCACTTCCTTAATTTGTATGTGTCATACTAATAGTATAAAGAGGTAGAGGAACACAGGTTTTTTTTTAAAGTTGGCAACCCAACCAATCCCAGTTCGGATGTAGGAAACCCACGCAGACAGCTAAAAAATTATGCCACTGAAAAATTATGCCACTGCTCCAAAGTTGGAAATTCATCTGACTCTGCATAAAGCAACTGTATGTAGCACATTCTCTATCCTGGTGCCCTCCAGAAGCGTTGGACTATGATTCCCAGGATCCCTTAGTCAGCCATGTTGGAAGTTGTAGTCTAATATATCTGGAGAGCAGCTGGATGGAGTAACTCGCTCTTATACACATGTATACATCATGTACTGTTGCTAGCTACAAAGTTTTTAAACTTGTTCTTGATTTTTTGGAGTGCAAGAAAAGCTACAAAGGGATTTGTCAAACCAGCCCTGCAATTTTGGCCTGCTGGCTAAACCCGATTAGAAATTGTGTTAATATGGACAGTTGTTCCAGAGAGACTTCAATAACTGAAGAAAGAAAATAACGCCATGTGTGTCCAGTAGATCAAACAGGATAATTCAAAAACTTTTTTATTTTTTGTATTCCAGAAGCTTTCACTTTTCTTAAACAATCTCTGCATTTGGAGATCATAAGAGGCATTCCTTATTTTAGGATGAAATTAAACTGGGAAGGAATATGGGAGTCAATTAGACTGGCTTAGTTTTTCCTTCCATAAATGATTAATTGGGATTCAAGACAAACCAGCCTGATTCATTTTTTAAACATGAATTTTATGTGGGGTTGCCATATATTTAGATTGTCAGTTGCATGAATTTAGATTGAACTTGCATGAATTACATCTGACACAGAAAAAATATCTCGGCTTAATAGGCACTGTCATCAATTTCTTAGAAGACATCCATAAAAAAGGAAACAGAAAATAGACTATATTCTGTATTTCTGGAAGCTTCTCTGGTTTTACACTTATTGTCTTCTCCATCCATAGCCCTGGCTGTGTGCCCCTCTTCACAGTGTCATCCTATTAATGTCTACTAAGAAGGAAGCCCCAGTGGATGCATCGGGACTTACAGGAAGATATATGCAAAATCATAATCACAATGGCATTTGTACCATCACATTTTGAGGTTCATTTTCATTTCCCTTCTTCAGCTCCCTTATGTGATTCATTGATCTAGATAGAGATGCTCGTATCTGCTGTCGAAATGCAACACTTTGGTCTAAAAAACGGAATTACCAGCTTGGAGGAAAATGTACAATCATGTCACTGCTGAAATGCAAGGTTTTAATTGTATTTCATATGCATGTAAATGTAGCACGTTTAACTGCATAATTACCCAGTTCTAGCATGCTGAATATATTTTAATTCAGACCAACGGTGTTCCCATGTATATATTCGCACCCTTGTTCAGGGATCCTTAACTGAAGCTGAAATGGACTGGACTGCAAAGAGTGGGTTTGATCAGCATTCCTCCAGGCTCTCCTGTCCTCAGCCATCCCCCGAGTCCACCCAAGCCCACACCCACCACCCCAGTGACTCCATGCAGCCACCTCATCCTCTGCCATCCCCTTCTCCTTTTGCCTTCAATTGTTCCCAGCATCAGGGTCCTCTCCAGTGAGTTGTTCCTTCTCATTAGGCGGCCACAGTATTTGAGCTTCATCTTCCGTATCTGGTCTTCTCAAGAGCAGTCAGGGTTGATTTCCTTATAGTTGGAGTAGGCCCTCTGAAACTAATTGGACTTAGTTATGATTGACTTAAGCTTTATTGATTTCAGCGTGTCTTCCAATAGGACCTACCTGCACTTGAGTTCATCTTCACTGACTTCTGTGGGGGTAGGAAATATGGATCCCATCCATCGGAATAAGAGTTCAGATTTGGAGGATGCACCGTTTCTCTCCCGTCCCACACCCTTAACATTCAGGATGCTGCACTTCAAAGTAAGCAGCAATCCAGTGAGGTCATGCTGAGGTATGAGTTAATTAGTGTGCTGATGAGACTTCGTAAAACTAATGAGGGAAGGTATTTATAAATAGAAGCTGCTTTCTTGCTCAAAGAGATGAAGGAGATCTAGCAGGTTAGGGAATGGTTTCCACCCAGGAGTTAAGTCGATCAAGACATGTGTTTGCCTATACTGGTAAGAATGAGAGGAAAATCATGCTAACACTTGATGGGTATTGTTGTTGTGCTACATTAACGTCTGTCTGCATAAGAACACTATTCAGTGGTTTTCCAGCCAGGCATTCATACAGCTGCTGCTGTAATTTGCTTATGAAAAATGATGGGTAGGATGACGCTACAGAGAGCTTGTGAATTCCAGCTCCTTCTTTCCCTACCTCTGTCACAGTTTGCTGCAGTTTGGACCGAACCAGGAGCAGTGTATGTACACTGTGCTCCCAGGGAATCCAAAGCCTATGGAGGAGCTCCGTTCTGTGACCTGAATAATCGCGGCATGTTTCCATAACTTGCCTCTGTTCTGCCAGCCAGAGGAGGCATAACAAGGGGCACTGAAGCCCCACCCCATCTCTTGCAAATCTTGTCTTGTCCCCCTCCCCCTTTTGGCTTCTGATCCCAACAGCTGTTAGCCACACTTCTTCCCTACCATACATAAGCTGGCATGGGTACAGTGCCACCGATACAGCTCCTGTGCCATCTTAGATGGAGACAGACACACTGAAACTTGATGCAAACAGAAGCAGGGCTCTAGTCCAGAGCAGATGAGGGAAGAAGGTTCAACCTGTTCGGGATGGGCTCACAGCCCTGCCTCCAAAGACTCAGACTCACAGTTTTGCTGTGCTCCCACGCTGAGTGCTGACCTGGGTGCGGAAGCTTCAGTGGCAGGCCAGCATGCGCTTGCACAGCGGGGGCAGCTGCACCAACTCTGCCCATTCCTAGCGCCATCTCATCCAGCTCCGGGTGACTTAGTTGCAGCCCATCAGACGACCATAGTGTGTGCTACTTGGGGCTGCCTTCACAACTGCTCAGGAACTTCTGCTGGTCCAGCATGCCACAGCCAGATGGGTGACCAGGGTGTAAGAAGCCCATGACTTCCTTGCTGTAACAGCTTTACTTGGCACCGGTCTGCTTAGGGGCTGAATGTGGGTTATGATCTATTAGCCCTAGATGGCTTGGGACCAGTCTGCCTGAAAGACCACCTCCCCTATGAACCTGCCCAGTCCGTAAGAATGCCTGGGGAGGCCTTTTGGGTCTGCTTTGAGTGTTGAACTTCTTTCCGTGTGAAGACCAGAATCAGTTTTGGTAAAGGCCTCAGGGCAGACCAGGTGGAAGTGCAAAGCCAAAGACAGAAGTGACAGTCCAAAATTACCTACCTATTGGCCTTTAAGGTGCAACCCCATGCTTAATAGTTAGGGCTATGCTGGAGATTTACCTTGCAAGACCACAGTGCACGTGTGTATTTTAGTGGTGAAAGATTTTAGAGGCAGGGCTGTTAATAATACTGGGATAGGGCAAGAATTAGGATGGATGGGGGAAAGCTGTGTATTTGAGGAGGTTTCTTCTATTTTCCTCTTGGTTTGTTTTCCTTCTGGGCATTTGGCACATGTTGGCATTGCTCCGCACCTTGTTTGCCGCCATGACAACTAGAAAAGTACAGCTCTTGTGTTTATTTCTTAAAAAGCAATGTGCTTTTAGGTGCGGCAGGGAGAAGAATCTTACGGGCTGCC